AAAGATGACATGGAATATATGGTGCGGAAAATAATTGAAGAATATGCTAAATGGGGTCTCACAGTAAATACAGAAAAAACAAAATACCTTCCAATTGGAGCTAATACAGAAAACCTATTTTAGACAATAATATGGAAATTAGGGCATGTGAAGATTACAGGTACCTGGGATCGATATTTACAGGAGATGGAACGGACGATAGAGAAATAAACAACAGAGTAATACAGGCACGAAGAGTTATCAGATGCATAAATGGCATTCTATGGAGCACTGAAATTACAAAAAAACAGGAAATAATATATACGGGACACTAGTTAAAAGCATATTACTCTATGGATGTGAAACATGGCGACTCACTGAAAGGAATAAAAGGAAATTAGAGACAACAGAAATGGACGCGATTAGAAGAGCAATGAGAATTTCAAGGAGGGATAAGATCAGAAATGAAGACATTAGACAACAGATGGGAATAGAGAGAGCAATAGTAAATGATATAGAACAAAAATAATTAATATGGTACGGCCACGTTCAGAGAATGCACAATGAAAGAATTCCAAAACAAGTCATTCATTAGATACCACCTGGTAAACGAAAGAGAGGACGTCCCAAGAAAACATGGATGGAAGGAATAAGAAGGTCGATGAGCGAGAAAAATCTGACCGAAGATCGATGGGAAAATCGCACAGGGTGGAAGTTAGGCATCGGACAACGTCGTAGGACGTTCTGACCCGAATTTATATAGATATTACAAGATATCAAAATATTTTTATTCCTGAATTTTCACAAATTATGCTTCCTAACACTTTTAGAATAATTATACAGGGTGGCGAATCTCATTCGCCTCGGTTGATTATACGAAAACGGAAAGATGTAGAAACAAAATATTTTATGGGTATATGTGGGAAGGCAATGTGCATAATTTAAAATTATTTTGAAATGTACAGGGTATGTCAGAACTAAGATCCATACCAAAGATTTATTTTTTTTATGAAACACCCCCGGTATTTTATTTTATTTATAGATTCTTGAACATAAAATAAGGCATTTATTGTAAGGGTTTAATATGTCTAAAAGCTTTGGTTTTTGAGATATTTATATATATTTAAATGTCGAAGCAAATCCAAATTCTCTTTCAAACTATATTAGGGTTTCCTATACCTATATGACTCAGATTTTGAATAAAAAGCTATTTTTCGATAGAACTGTAATCAAGATGGCTAGTGTCGCCATGGCAATAGTCTAGTGACACTTAGTAGCTATTTTCAAAATCGATATCAACTTATGGACTTTATATAAATTTATAACAGGCTATTTTTATTTAATTTACTTACAATAATGTTAATAAGTAAGTATTTATTATTTTATCAAGAAAAATGAAGCAGTATCTGCTGGTGGAAGGAATGGATATGTTACTAGTGATTTTATTTTGTGAGGACTAGTGATTGTTTGGATGTCGTCTGTGGAAATCTTCCCTCGCTCATTGGACAGTTTTTAGTAGTGAAATACTGTTTTATTTTGTCGTTTATTTGTCATTTTCCAGATCTTTTTGTTTCAGTGTATGAATTTAATATTAATTAAATCAAGATCCTCAAATCAGGGACAAATTGTTAATTCTTACTGTTCTGAAACGGAAATAGTTTTATATTTATTGTTTTATCTTCGAGCTATATCTCGGTTTAATGACGTGTGTAACCTATACACATTTTTTTCTTTAACTGAGCTGTGTATTGTCGGATATACGGTGACACATGAATTGGATATAACCCTTGTCAAGAATTGTTTATCATTAGAATTTTATATATTAACTATCGATAATGTATTTGTTGTTCTAATGAATAGAAGACAAATCCTTGATACATTTTTATTGCGTTTTTTTATTTAATTGATTGTCCTATTACCTATTACAGATAACATATATTATGTTATCTGTAATAGGACCACAGATAACATATACTGTATTATCTGTGGTGGTCCTATATCATTAAGAAATGTGTGTTTCTTATATTGCACAGATAGACATTTTATTTCGAATATTTCTGAATATGGAAACTAGTTTCTAGCCGTTGCCGGTAACTCACTATCAAATTTTAAACAATCAAATGCGTATTAAAATCAGAGAATCACGACAAAAAAAGTTGGAACCAAAGCAATCAAAACTCATTTGTGCAAGGGTCGAATAAATTTTTATTCTTAATATAAGGAATAAATAGTCAACTACCGGTTGCGGTTAGGCGCTTGACTAATAGGTTTGGTGCATTCTCCGCCGTGCCGATGCTGCCACCATCGGAAAATATCGTAAACAACTAGTATACCAGGTGCGTCTCAAAAGTAACTCACCCCTGTAACTTTTTTATTTTTTCAGATACAAAAACGAGATTTGGTGTGTTAATATATGACATAAATTAGAATTCATTGACGTATGAAATATTGTATTCTAGTAATTCGGCAGCAAAAACCATTCATTTATAAAATTCATTCATTTATTCGTCAGGATCGATTATAATAAAATATTAACTGAATTTTAGTTGTCATAGCCCGGCGACGTAGAGTTTCCGAGAAAGCGGTCGGTGGCAATGCTATGAAAGAAGCCGGCATCTTTGATTTTTTGCGGAGTCATATATAGATAAGGACACATTATTTTTTATTGAGGGTGCTAGTATTTACACAGAAAATACATTATGAAGGAGGCGCTGTTGCCATATTTTTGTATTAGTTGATATTAGCAAAGAATATTATTGTTTGGCTTTAGTTAGTTAAGGGATAGTATGTCTATATATTCTGCATTTTTTTTATTAATATTCTGTTGTTACACTGCAATAATACTTGTTATTTTGGATGTAGGAAAATTATTTTTAATGTTTTTAAGCAAAGACTGGTTTAATAAATAATAATAACAGTAATAATTTGTTATACCTATTAACAACAAAAATTTAAAATCATTTAATATAAATATTTTTTTTTTTTAAGTAGTAGCAAAATATAAACAACAAATTAGATGTCAAAATTATTTATATTAGATCCTATTTAAAAATAATATAGTCTCTAATTTTTTTAGGCAACGTTGGTTTATTAAATAATAATAAATTACAGAACTAATTTGTTATATTAACAACAAATTTTAAAATCATGAAATATAAACATTTATTAATTTTCTAAGCAAGCGGTGTAATGGAAGGAAAATATAAATAAAAAATTAGAAATCAAAATTATTTATATTAGGTGCTTTATATTACTATTTAAAAATTATATTTACTTTTACTGGCATTTACTTTAAAAATAAATGAAATATTTCTTCCCAAAAAACTACATGTAAGAGAATTAGCATAAACAAAATACAAACATCGTTAACTTTTTTTAAATTGGCACGTGTAAAAATTTCATTTTAATTTTCTCACCCCATAGTTTGAGTTCGATAACCATTTATTTAACCACATTACTTAAATATAATTATTAAGTTCCAACTAATTCATAGGTATTATTAAAACATCTAAAATACAAATATGTATTTTTAAAAATTAGTGTAAAAGTTCATCTCATCTCTCTTAAAATTGCTACTTCTCAAAATTTCCCATTAAAAAATAGACCATATACCATATAAAATATGAAATAATTGAAAGATCGGACTACGGAAAACCACACAAATTATCGGAAAATTTTGACCACCTGCACATGCACACAATCGTCAATAAATAAAAGTAAAAATAACTACTTATTTTAGTATTTTAACTATTTTAATAAACGCAAAAATAGCACGAAGTATTTATACGAGCGAAGTTATAAAAATTTGGAAGAACCAATAATGCACTGACGCATACAAAATCCAAACGAATACTAAATTTCATTTATCAAAAGCATTCGATAGTCGTGGCTCAACGATAACCATTTAGTCGCACGGCGAGGTTGTCACATATGCTTTAGTTTACAAATGAATGAATGATTTTATTCGAATAAAACCATTCGAAGTTGAAATCATTCATTCATTAACCATTCGATAGTCTAATTCATTCGATAGTTCCCATCGCTAATTCTCCGCCGTGCCGATGCTGCCACCATCGGAAAATATCGTAAACGGTGCGTCTCAAAAGTGGCTCACCCCTATAACTTTTTTATTTTTTCAGATACAAAAACGAGATTTGGTATGTTAGTATATGACATAAATTAGGATTCATTGACGTATTCAATTGTTTTTGGTCACTGCCTGTCATCGGAAATGACTACAACTTTTGATTTTTAAATGGCACCCTTGGTATTTTTTTACTTTAATCGATAGAAAATGACATTCTGTATAGAATGACATATCATATGTCAACTTTTGTGCCAGGCTGTGTTAAAAATACTAATTTTTAATGAAGCCTTGGAAAATAGATTTCATGGTCCAATGTTTTTAATGTCTTAGCCTGCTCGGTTCAAAGATATAATAAATCGTATTTTTAATTATATCTCAATTTTTTCAAATGGAACGAGGGTGGCTCATTAACATATTTGGAAAAAGCATTTTTTATGAATAATTTGATACCACACACTTGGTATTTCGAGTCAAATTGTCGTTATGAACCGCATGTTATAATTTCACGTAAACCATATACATAGAACATGTTATTCTATTTAGGGTGTCATTTTCTATCGAATAAAGTAAAGAAATACTGAGGGTGTCACTTAAAAATCAAAAGTTGTAATCATTTCCGGTGAAACAGGAAGTGACCAATATCAATTGAATACGTCAATCAATCCTAATTTATGTCATATACTAATATACCAAATCTCGTTTTTTTATCTGAAAAAATAAATAAATATTATAGGGGTGAGACACTTTTGAGACGCACCCGGTATAGTATATAATATGTACCTATAATATAGGCTATCAACAATGATAGTTGGCAACACTGTATTAGAGGATTTTAGAATTAGATTTTAAAATTATTAGGTAGAAAAATTTTCGGAAACTATGTCAATCATTGACGTCAATTTTACAATTATTGCAATAGTCTAAAAATGAATTATTTAAAATTTATTTAAAAAAATATACACTACACTAATCCATGAATATTTTAAAAAATATATAATTTTGTACTTTTGTTCATTATGATCAATTTGTCATTATTTTATCACTAAATTTGGAATTAGTCGTATTGTTGTTATCACACTCATTGAGCTTAACCAATTGTTCAGATTTCGACCATAAGGCTGAGCACAGTTTCAAATGTTTCTTCACGCTGGTCAGTTCATTTGTGACACCACAATTTTCAAAATGTCTGCCAGAGTGTCTTTCGATTCCTTCTTTTATGGCACAGTACACAATTGATTCTGCTACAATTTTTGGACTCTAAAAAAAAAGAATACCGTTACCACGACAGTTTTATATTGTACAGGGTGTGTCAAATTGAACGTTTTTGCAGAGAAACATCCTTTTCTATAGGAGAGAGACGAAAACTAATATCAGTGTCTGGAGCTGAATTTTTATCAAAAATATGATGGTGAAAACTGCACGTCGATACCTGTTACCGTTTCGGAGTTACAAGGTGTTATTCAAAAATATGCATTTTCAACAAATCGCTGTAACTTTTTTGCTATGGAAAATTTTGTATTTTTATGAAAACATTTCCAGCGCACCTTTTTACGTAGAATTTAATGGTTTAAGTATAATTTTTTTAAAATTAATAATTTAGGAATTATCAACAGAAAATTTGATTTCTTATATGGAACACCCTGTATATTTTTAATTTATTGAAAATAATTTAAAATTACCTTTTCAAAAATCTAACACACTTGATATTTTGCTCGATTCCTCTTCGAGATATAGAGTATATAAAAATTCGCCCGCTTTAAATAAGTAGGCTTTGAACGGCACCGGCTGTAATGCAAAAAAAATCTAGCTGTGAGCATCAATTAAAACAAAAATAATATTTGCTATGAGAGATGCAGAGTTTTATAACAATTTAAAATATATTAAACCAACATCAACTCATTTAAACTATATCTAATCACAATAAAAATAAACAGCAAACTTAAGACATGAGAGTTTGCTACAGGTGTTCGACATATCGACCGTCTTCTGTTATGGACAGACGGGGCAGTTTTTGAACATTTCTCGCGGAATTCATTACTCAGTGGGGGTAAAAGACACTCTCTCATAACTGTTAAATATTTCTAATTCTTGTCTAGATTATACGGAAGAATAAGGAATCTTTATTCTTCCGCGGTCAAGCGGCCTCGACGGCCAACGGCTGGGATCTTGGTTAGCTATTCAATTATTCTTGAAATTGGCTGCAAAAATTTGCTGATAACTTCAGCGTTCTGAGGCGGTGCGTTGCCTTGCTGAAAAAATATGTTTTCGAGTTCCATTAAGGGCAGATCATCAATAAGGGGTCCAAAGCCTACTAGTTAAAAGTGGCGAACTTTTAATAATTCTGTATTTCGAAGGGGATTATAACAAAATATCAAGTGTGCTATATTTTTGGAAAGCTAATTTTAAATTCTTCTAATGAAAAATATGGAGGGTGTCCCAAATAAAAAATCAATTTTTCTGTTGATAACTCTTAAATTATTAATTTAAAAAAATTATACTTAAACTTTTTAATTCTACGTAAAAAGATGCTTTGGAAATGTTTTCATAGAAATACAAAATTTTCCATAGCAATATATCCCTGTATCAATATTTATCAAAATTAGAACTTAAGTAGCTTGGGTAAGGAGGATTCAATATAATTTATCAGATTTGAAATAAGTACTTTCCTAAGGGTAGTTTACTCTTGACTCGAAAAATATCAAACCCCATTAAAACGTACGTCTATGAGGTATCGCATTTCTTAACCTTTATTATGTATGGAGCACCTGTGTGGAACGAAGCAACCAATATGCACGTAAATAAAAAAAGACTTGAAGGTGCACAGAGAGTCATGGCTTTGAGGGTCTGCTCGGCGTATCGGACAACTTCAACTGAGGCAGCCTTGGTGATATCGGGTCTGGTGCCCTTGCATCTTCTCTCAAGAGAAAATATCTTGATTGTTTGTTGAGCGATCTTTTTCATTTTTTGGCAGGAGGCTGTATGGCTATAAGACGTACATTTTGCCCAGGGTAAGAAAGGCGATACCTCATAGACGTACGTTTTAATGGGGGTTTGATATTTTTTTCGAGTCAAAAGTAAACTTAACCCTTAAGACAGTATTTATTCAATATAATTTATCATTATTTTGAATCCTCCTTATCTAAGATACTTAAGTTGACTAATTTTTATCAAATATTGATACAACGTGTGTTATTAAAATAAGACATTTTATTTTTTTATTATGTTTTAAATACTTACGACGGAACTGGATAAACAACTGGTTTATTATCAATAACCAAAGATACCCAAGGTGCACAGAGAGTAATCGCTTTGAGGGTCTGCTCGGCGTATCGGACAACTTCAACTGAGGCAGCCTTAGTGATATCAATCTTTGTGCCCTTGCATTTTTCTATCAAGAGAAAGAGAACGACTCTTTCTCAAGGGTGGATTTTTAAAATATTCCTCAATAAAACGAATAAAAATTATATTTCAGGTTCCATTGAAAACTGGGTTTTAAATTATTTTGTAATTCATTTTATTCATTTGTATTAGCAAACTTATTTTTCTTTTTAAAGTAAACAAAATAAATTGAAAATATTTAGTTTTTGTATCGTATCTTAATTATTATGGAAGCTATCTGAAAACTTAAAATCGATTATTATTGATAATTGGTTATAATTGGTTATTGATAATAAACCAGGTGTTTATCCAGTGGCGTCATAACCAAATATAAATATGTGGATTAAAAGTAATTTAAAATTAAAGATTTAAAAAGAAATTTTGGGAGTTACCTGTGTAAAATTGGAAAGAGGAAAATCGCGGAATGCCGATTCTGTGCTGAACCCAATGATACTCCAGAACAAACAATGTTTGCTTGTCCAAGATGGAAACAAGAAAGATGTGAGGCATGCATGACGATTGGTGACAACATCTCCGCAGATACCTTCTTAAAATCGGGAACAGAAAGAAGAGAAAACTTTGAAGCCATCTCAAAACTGGCCCTAGGGCAAAATACAGCGAAATGACAAAAAAGGAACAGTCCGGCGTCTACTTGAGGAGATGCGTCCAGCGGGTTCAGGTAGACGTGGCAGGAGCGAGGGGGTGACGTTTAGTGGGTAGTGTCCTCCAGGCAGTTTAGGGAGAGATTGAGTCCCATACTCTGCACGTAAAGGTATTTTACACCTCAAAAAAAAAAATCTTAACCTTGAACAAAATGTACGTCTTATAGCATGTATTTCCTGCCAAAAATGAAAAAGATCGCTCAACAAACAACCAAGATATTGGCTTGTATCCATCTTAAGTGGGACACCCTGTATATGATCTAGGGTTGTATTCATAGAGAAAGCTTAATACCGTATGATCGAGAAAAAACGGCGTCAGCGATGGCTATGAAATGAAGATCGCTGTCATTTTATATGTAAATTTATATGGGGAATGTCATCGATCGTCATTTCCCAGCCAACTGGACGCCGTTTTTTTTCGATCATACGGTATTTAGCTTCTAAAACAATCAACTTTTGATTTCTAACCACAATTTCTCTTGACGGAAGATAATCAAAGGCTAAAATGACATTTGTTGCAAATTTTGAAGTATCATTAGTGGAAAAAGTAAAAGTTTGATAACTTTTCCTACTAATCGAGAATGTCTACCACTAATTTTAACGTTCTGAATGCTTACATTGAAATTAAAAAAAAACAAACTTCTACGCTAATTGAAACCACTAATTTATTCCACTAGTTGCGAGCAGGGGGGTGACAGTAAACCGGAAAATTGGAAACAGTTGTGGCGCGGTTCTACCCAGGCAGAAAGCATGGCCTTCTAGACTGTCCTAGACAAAAATCTGAATATTTCTATATGATTTCTGTCAATTTCTGCTACGGAACATTTTTATGCACGTCGGCGTCCTGTTCTTTTGTCTTTTTGTCTGTGTGTCAGCGTCAGCTCCGAGGCCTCTGGCAAGGTCGGGCGCCATTTTAATTTTGCCGTTTAGATTTGATTGGAAGTTGGTTTCTGATATTTCGGCTGAAATTTATAAGGTACAAATATCATTTTTTTGATATAAAGTTCCTTGTATAGACTTTAATAAAGTTATATATGATATTAATTACATGAAGAAAATGATGAAATCCAACGTTTCTGCGTGTAGTTTAAAATAAACCATAAAATATATGTCTAAAGTAGGTAATATATTAACTGTTTTTATTTTTTAGCTTTAATTTTAAAAGTGATTATTAGCCTACATTAATTTTCTACAAGATGAACAGAAATGCGTAATTACATATCACATAGGTACCTATTATGTATTTTCATAGCAATAATGCTATAAATCTATGTATGTAGATTATTTTTAAAATACAAATGAGGGTATTAGATGTATATGTATCATATTTTTTATTCATTTTATTTTCATTCAAGTCCTGTTTGATTTAATTCACAAAAGTCTTATGTGCCTATATTTATGTTTTTTTACATATTTTTTTGATTTCAGGTTTTGTGTGAATTCCTGTTGCCTTTCCTGCTTCCAGTTATTTAGTTTTATGCCCGTGAAGCTGTGAAAACATTTATTTATCTTCAAGTTTCTGTAAGTCAATGCACTGTTACTTTACTAATTCACTTTAACACAGCATCTCTGATATTATTTAAATATTTGATATTGATACAGTAGTTTATTGGATTATAAGCTCTTTAATTGTGTTGATTTGCATATTTACATTGTTCTAAATAAAAAAAAAAATATTTTTGATTAATTAGAGTAAAAAGTATATTAACCCTCATTTAAACCTCCTGAACAGCCCGCCATTAAAAACCGGAAACGGAAATAAATTTATAAAATATATATTTTTTAGTTTTATTTATATATATTTATTTTTTTATGTTGAATGTGTTGTAGAATTGTAATAAGTTATACTGGGATTAAATAAAAACTAGATACAAAAAATAAATCGTTCCTTCATTTTAAAGGTGAGGCGCGGCCTTAGAGGACTACCCTGACGAGCCGCCACTGTTTTAGACTTAACTGACTTGGTCAAATTGACAACTTTGATAAGTTTGACTTACGTTCTGGCACCACATCCATAATCTGGCCCAGGCCTGGAACGCAATGGATGTGTTCGTAAGCAAGTTCGTCCTTGTACTTCCAGGGTACACGGAATATGTCGTAATGTTCGATCCTGTCAATTTTCTGGCCAGTTCGACATTAAACAGTCGAAAATATAATTTGGATCTGCAGTACGTGTTCAAAAATCCATTGAATTCGTTGAGCGTATTCAGATTTATATTAGAATCGCATACGGATATCATAAAGCCTGTGGTGATATTGACTATTCTTGCTGAATTGGACTTCTTCAAGAGATCTAAAATTTGTTAGTTAATGTTAAAGTAATTTCAAAATTAGTCGGATTGGTTGGAGACTCTTAATTTGCTTGTACAAACGATGTCACAAAGACAGTGCCGAAATTAAGAGATTAAACGATTCCAAATGACTTTGGATATACTATACAGGTTTGATACAGGGTCCAGCAATAGTGCGTCGGGCATCTGTAGCTCCTAGAATAAAAAACTTTGGAATATTGTTTAAGCGTAAATCTAAAGTATGTACAGGGTGAGTCAACGATAGAGTAAAGTCCATTATCTCATTTGTTTCGAGATTTACAAAAAAATGTTAAATACAAAAGTTATAGGGAAGGTTAAGATACATATTTTAAAATTATTATAGAGTATACAGGGTCCTTCAAAAATGTGTGGCGAATATAACATATGTTTTTTTTTAAATGCAACACCCTATTTAATATTTTATTTTTTATGATTCTGCGTAAAATTCTATAACTTTTTTATATATAATGTTATATACCTAAAATTAATAGTTTTTGTAATATTTAAATTTGTTTATACAAATGTTAAATTGCAGTGTGGTAAAAAATTGTCAGTTGTACCATTGTTTTTGAAGTTGGAATACCAAAATTTGGTATGAAAGTTCTATAGAGATTAAAAAGAAGATATTTTAGTTAAATGCTACAGGGTGTTCAAAATATATTTATGAATTTCAACTACCTACTTAAAATTAAAAAATCTCAAATTTTTTAAATGGTACACGCTATATATTTACATTTTTTCTGATAGATTTTGCAAAGCTCTTCAGCCTTTATTAAGTATGTCATATACCTATTTTTAATAGTTTGCGATTTATTCCAATTTTTTCTATTTTTACCCTAATTTTTAATACAATTACGCTATAAAACATCATAGTTGCCGTGACAAAACAAACATATTTATTACTTATTTTTAACAAGTAGTTTAATAATTAGTTACAATTGTTATTATTAGTCAAAATTAACTAACTTTACTCAAATAAACTAAAATCGTAGTCGTGAATTTCTTGGTGTATTTCTATATTATGAAAGATGACATTTGGATTTTCCGTCGGGCCGAATAGCCACAGATTAGGATAATACTAACTAGATTACCTAATTGTTGACGACTACTGATATTGAAATTTTCTCCGACATACAGTAAAGTTTTTTTTCTCGTAGTAATTCTGGTTTATAATTCATTTCGTAAAGCCAATATTACTACTGCCAGAAAACCGTCCCATTACACACTGAAAATATTATAATATAATATAATATGAAAATGTTTTCTAGATAATCTACATCTATTCTTACAGTACTTAGCAAAGTACTATATAATATATAGTACTGAACCAAAGAATATGTTTATTTTGGCTTGTTCGTGTATATCAGTCACATTGACTAATCCATTTTCAGGAAAATCTGAAACTATTACCTCTACCTCTATCATTTATACTTATTATAACAAATTAAACTAAAATTCACCTTTTGTTCTTAACTTACTTAACGGACATAATTGATAATAATTATTATTTTTTGTCATGGTAACTATGATGTTATAGCGTAATTGTATTAAAGATATGGGTAAAAATAGAAAAAATTGGAATAAATCCCAAATTATTAAAAATAGGTATATGACATACTTAATAAAAGTTGAAGAGCTTTGCAAAATTTATCAGAAAAAATCAAAATATATAGGGTGTACCATTTAAAAATTTATAGATTTTTTAATTTTAAGTAGTTGAAATTTATAAATATATTTTGAACACCCTGTAGCATTTAACTAAAATATCTTAACATATATCTTCTTTTTAATCTCTATAGAATTCTCATACCAAATTTTGGTATTCCAACTTCAGAAACAATGGTACCAGTGACAGTTTTTTACCACACTGCAATTTAACATTTGTATAAACAAATTTAAATATTACAAAAACTATTAATTTTAGGTATATAACGTTATATATAAAAAAGTTATAGAATTTTACGCAGAATCTAAAAATAAAATATAAAATAGGGTGTTGCCTTTAAAAAGGCATATGTTATATCCGCCACACTTTTTTGAAGCACCCTGTATACTCTATAATAATTTTAAAATGTGTATCTTAATCTTCCCTATAACTTTTGTATTTAACATTTTTTTTTAACCTCGAAACAAATGAGATAATGGACTTTACTCTATTGTTGACTCATTGTACAAGGATGTATTTCAGGAAAATATTTAACTTATTAACTTCTGTAGGGTGGCTCAAAAAAGTGTAAGTGGATCGGGATGATTTTTTTTAATGGAACATCCTGTATTTTATTGTATTTTTGGCTTCCTTTCAGATCACTTTACATAATCCAAAGATATGAGTAAATATGTTTCTATAGCTATAGAGATATTAATAAATAAATAAAAAATATATATTTTCCAACCTTCCTTAAAAAATTATTACAAATACAAGAAGTGTCCTGAAATCAAAACTATATTAGGTATTTACTTTAGATGGTCTATACTTACTTTGTTGTAAATATCGTAATCTTAAATCATACAGGATGTTGAAAATTCTACGTCAAACTTTCTAAAATATGAAATAATTTTTCTTTTTTTTTTAAACGGAACACCCTGTATATTATTTTTTTTTAGTAGATGGAGAAATAAAAAAATTAACATTTTTTGTATTTAAAGTATTTCAAAATGTTTAATGGTTTCGCAGACACAGGCAGTATTTTTCAGATGGTAACCGTAAAATACGAGAGAAAAATCATTGGGTGGTTGAAATACTCTAAATACAAAAAATTTTCATTTTTTAATTCTCAATTTATTGAAAAATAATATACAGTGTGTTCCGTTTAAAAAAAAAGAAGAAAAATTATTTTGTATTTTAGAAAGTTTGGCGTAAAATTTTGAACATCCTGTATGATTTAAGATTACCATATTTATAGCAAAGTAAGTACAGACCATCTAAAATAAACACCTAATATAGTTTTGATTTCAGGACAGTTCTTGGATTTTTAATATTTTTTTTAAGAAAGGCTGAAAAATATATAATTTTTGTTTATTTATTAATATCTCTGAAACTCCCGAAATATATTTACTCATATCTTAGAATTATGTAAAGTGATCTGAAAAGAAACCAAAAATGCAATAGTATACAGGGTGTTCCATTTAAAAAAAATCATCCGATCCACTCACACTTTTTTGAGCCACCCTATAGAAGTTAAAATATTTTCCTGAAATATATCCGAGTACATACTTTAGGTTTGCACTTAAGTTTGTTATTATAGAAGCTACAGATGCCCGACGCACTATTGCCGGGCCCTGTACAGGGTGTCCCACTAAGAATAGCTCTCGGCTGTATCTCGGAAAATATTAGCCGTAGGGCTTACGGAAAAAAATATTTATAGCTAAAGGGGCTATGAGAAATTGCTGGAAATTATTTTCAAGTTTGTAAAACGACCGCTAGGGAGCGCAACTGCTATGGAAAATAAGAAAATAGAATTTTTACGGAATTTTGTCTAGATAATGGATACTATTAATAATAGCTTCATAATCTTCAGTAAATTTTGGATTTTTTTTGTTACAACCATTTTCCCCTATCTGCTAAAATAAAGTGGTGGGGGAAGGTTAGATCTATCTTTATTTAAATGTTAATAACTCCGGACTGGATGATCAGAATCCAACGAACGAGGGCTCGTTTAAAAGAGCGTTTCTTACTCTATATTATACCATAAAAATAATAATAATAAAGTTGTGAAGGTAGACGCTAGGGGGCGCTTTCTTATTATTTAACAAACATAGCGCGTTTTTTTTTTAAATTAAATACGATAGTATATGTAGTTTTAGCTGATACTAAAGAGTAGTAAAAGCTTAAAAAGTCAGCGAAAACCGCATCTTAATATCTTCTTTTAAACCGAAGATATTAGCAAAATTATAATAAATACCAAAAAATTTGTCCTTAATTACCTTATTTTTACAACACGGTATCGGTAGCCCTCTTGATTATGCCCATTCTAACAAAAAATAGGATAGAAACAGTTAGTTTATTTTAAAATCAACGAAATACCAGAATACCATAATACCAGATGTATTAATATCTAATAATTATGATATTAACAGTGAACAAGAAACAATAATTCAGTGAAGTCATGGTAGGCTTTGGAAAAAAATTGCTTTTGACGTAATAGTATAAACGTCAAATTGTTATTAGATCAGCATTTTGATTTTTGATAGTCTTTTATCTTTTGATTGCTTTTTCAAAATGCCAACAACTTCAAATAATAAAGGCATTTTGAAAAGGCAATTAAAAGATAAAAAAACGCTGCTAAGACTATCAAAATGTTGATCTAATAACATTTTTTAATTATACTATTACGTCAAAAGCAACTTTTTTTCAAAGCCTACCATGACTTCACTGAATCATCGTTTCTTGTTCAGTGTTATTAATATCTTAATTATTAGATATTAATACATCTGGTATTATGGTATTTCGTCGATTTTAAAATAAACTAACTGTTCCTATCTTATTTTTTTGTTAGAATGGACATAATCAAGAGGGCTACTGATACCGTGTTGTAAAAATAAGGTAATTAAGGGCTTATATTTTGGTATTTATTATAATTTTGCTAATATCTTCGGTTTGAAAGAAGATATCAAGATGCGGTTTTCGCTGACTTTTTAAGCTTTTACTACTCTTTACTATCAGCTAAAATTACATATACTATCGTATTTATTTTTTTTTAAGAAAACGCTATGTTTGTTAAATAATAAGAAAGCGCCCCCTAGCGTCTACCTTCAAAACTTTATTATTATTATTATTATGGTATGATATAGAGTAAGAAAGGCTCTTTTAAAAGAGCCCTCGTTCGTTGGATTCTGATCATCCAGTCCGGAGTTATTAACATTTAAAAATAAAACTAACCTTCCCCCACCACTTTTTTTTAGCAGATAGGGGAAAATGGTTCTAACAAAAAAAATCCAAAATTTACTGAAGATTATGAAGCTATTATTTATAGTACCCATTATCTAGGCAAAATTCTGTAAAAATTCTATTTTCTTATTTTCCATAGCAGTTGCGCCCTCTAGCGGCCGTTTTACAAACTTGAAAATAATTTCCAGCAATTTCTCATAGCCCCTTTATTTATAAATATTGTTTTCCGTAGGCCCTACGCCTAATACTTTCCGAGATACAGCCGAGAGCTATTATTAGTGGGACACCCTGTACTTGTAGGTATAGTACAGGGTGAGTCAATCTTTATAAAAAGGAGTCAACGATGGAGTAAAGTCCAGTATATTTGATACCAACTAAACTTTTAGATACGCAATCGAGAGCGCGATTTTTAAATTCATTGTTGCCAACCATGGCAACATATTCGTCGCCGGGCTGACTAACTGGAATTTAAATTTGCCGCTGGGTATTCAGGTGGTAGCTCTACTGTAAAAAATGTCAAGTGATCACGTTTATTTATTTATTTCCTGACGTTGTCATTCGTTTTGACACTTTAGTTTTGTATTACGAGTTTTTGGTTTAAATGAATTCTGTTGTGATATTTTAAGCTTAAACATTTTTACTAGCACACCTTGTAGTCGAACATTGTTCTTTTTAGAACCTCTTTTAGTACGAAGTGGTACAAGATAGCTTAATAGCCGTAAATAACTCAACGCAACTTTGTTAGAATATTTTTAACGGGAAAGCGGTAATAATGGCCATTTATGTCCGTTATATACTGTCAAGGAGGTGAGTTTTGTTGATGTAAATAATAACTGATTATAGATTATAATTTATTTTTGTTTTCTAAAATATTTTAATTAAAAGAAAATATGTAAAAGTGGGCAACACTGTGCCGGTCCAGTTTATTCACGTGACTAAAAGTGTATTTGATATGAACTATACTATTATACTTGATTATACCTATTGTGTGACAATACATTATTTATACATACCCAATAATAAATTGGTAAGTAAAAATGGTCCAAAATAATTCACTTGAACTGTCACTTGCAATCCGTCCTTTGTCAATTCGTCTCTGGAGTGCATAACACCCGCGTTGTTTATAAGTATGTCCAATTTTTCTTCTGTCTCACTTAATTCTTCGCAAAAAGCTCTGATTGATTTCAGTGACCTTAAGTCCATTATTTTGTAGGAAATATTCGAATTACCCGTTGCTTCGATGATTCTCCTGCATGTTGTTTTACCTTCTTGGTGAGACATACAAGGTACAATTAGTCTAGCACCTCTGGTTGCTAGATCGATTGCCACTTCATGTCCAATCCCTTAAATATGTAAATATCAAATTATACAGTTGTATTCATTAACAATGTATTCATGTGTTTAATTTTATTTTTTTTAATATGATGTAACTAAATATGCTACTGCTAATTTATTTTTCTAAGGCTCCTTGATTAAAAATTAGTGTTCCTAACACAGCCATGGCACTCTACAGTATATCCCCGGATTTGTCTTTACAAGAGAAATAACTTCTTTGTTTATTGACATTTTGAGAAGAAAACATTCTTTATAAAAAATTCGCTTGTTCTAAAATGGTTTAATCTCTCTTAAGGTCGATTCTCACTATACCTTCCGTATCAGCTATATACCTTCCGTTTATATAAAATGTTATATCATGTAAATGAATAGGACAATGCACACTACCCGTTCCGTTTCCCTTCTGTTCTATATTCTTCCGTTAAAGTATGGAACTGATACGGAACGGAAGCTTAAGTATAGCGTCAGTACAATAAAAAATACGGAACGGATATGGAATGGAAACGGAAGGTATAGTGAGAATCAACCTTTATACCTTTCCAAATTTCCATACCGTTTTAGAGAAAATAAAAAAAAACATGAAAATGGACAGTACCGAGCAAAAATAGAGAAACATTTGATTTTGCAATAAATTTATCAATATATCAAAATTAAAGACAACACTCTTTGTTTGTTTAAATCGTAATTATACATGTAATTCAAAGCTAACATAACATCAAGTTTCTGCTTGTGATAGACATATTATATAAGTTACAAGGTAATGAAGCGAGCAAAAATAGAGAAACATTTTTATAAATCATGTGTAATACAGAAGCAAACTAATACTTGCGTGGCCTTTATTTTTAATAACTGCTAGGTATCTCCTCTTTAAATTTAGGTCAGGACTCTGAGCTGGGCATTTGATCACCGTAATATTTTGGTCTATGAAAAATGTTTTAACTACCTTTGCCGTGAGGAATAGGTAAGAAGTGGTATAATACAATTTGATAGACAATTAAATTGTGCATCTGATTCTCGTAAAATATACAGGGTGTTCCATTTAAATTAAACAAGTTATTGCCGTTTGAAGCTAATAATTATTTAAAATAAATTTTTAGACACTCTGTATAAGGTAGTATTATTTTTATTATTGCAACACAATAACTGATCAGTAAATAAACTTCAGTAAATATTTAGTATTAAAAACTGTGATACCCTTGGAGAAATGAAGCCTTAAAATTTTTACTGCAATTTCACAAAATTGAAAATATTTCAAAAACGGTAAGGTTTAAGTATAATAAACCTTAATCAAATTTACCTTTATTTTAATCGTAGAAACTAAAAATGTAATAATATACAGCGTGTTCCGTTTAAAAAAATACAAGTTTGATATTTTTTACTTATTTGGGACACCCTGTATCTTGTAAAATTATTTTTAAATTGTACCTCTAATAGTCCTTCATCGAACCCAAAACTTACAATTTGTAAAAATTTCATCGTTTAGCTACAATACTCCGTGTCGTATGTGGTGAACAACCCTGTATAGACAAGGGATAAACCAAGGGGTCAACCGCCAAACAAGAACAGAAATAATTTTCTCTTGTTAAAGTCAGAATCTTCAAAAATTATAAAATCTTCTTCAAAATTTAAAAATTTAAATACATTGTATTGCCATTACTTACATATTTTGTAAGAATGATTGGAATGAAAATCTATAATACTAAACCTGAGGAATATGAGTCTTTTTCGGGGCACTGTATACTTCTTAAGACTAAAATAGTGTACTAACCTGAACTAGCTCCTGTGACCAGAACTGTTTTTCCTGTTAACTTCACATCGCTCTTGTATCTTTTTGTGGTAAGTGTCACACCTATTTTGGCAACACAGCAAATGACTATTACGAGCACAGCAACAATGATTGGTCCGACAACCTCAATCATGGCAATACTAAAACTCAAAACTCGGACATTTAATATACATTTATAAGTGAATTCATATCACTAATATGGACAAGTCAAAAAAAGACATTAATTAAAAGCCCAATTTCCTGTTTTTATCATAATTAATAGCAACCTTATTAAATGTATATTATTAATAATGTAAAAGTAAAAACTGAACAAAAACTTACAAATTGATATATTGTAGTAAAAATATCTTTGTATAATTTAATTATTTCGTCATAGACACGAATTAGTTTTTATATACAGGGTGTTTAAATAACTACAATGATATTTATTTTCTTTTTAACATATTTTCTATTTTACCAAATTTCCCGTATTTTAAAGATATACAGGGTCGCTAATATGTATGGGAACGGTCGATTATTAGATAAAATATACGAGGTACTGCAACAAGTTAAATATAAAAGTTATAGGGTTTTTAAATGTCTAGTAACTAGTAATAAATTTAGGTATACAGTATCAAGTTAGCATTTATAGATGTATAAAACGAGAGTATATCAAGTCTGGAAATTACAAAATTTTCGTTTAACATTTCAGTTCTTCAATTTATGTACAGTGTGTATTACGATTATTGCTTAAAATTGAAGGAACAATTGGAATATGCAATAATATACAAGGGATTGTATTAAAAAAAATTGATGTGCTACAACTTTATGACGGGCCCTGTATTCTTAAATTTACTACTAGCTACTAGACATTTAAAAACCCTATAACTTTTGTATTTAACTTTTTGCGGTATCCTGTATATTTTACCTAATAATAGACCGTTCTCATACATATCAGCGACCCTGTATATTTTGTTCTAATGGGCCCATTTAGATGACTTGTTAAGCAGTTTGTAGTTAAAGTCCCCATCTGTATCCCCATAGAAAACAAAATGTCATTATACCCAGATAATTTTTTTTAATAGATGTATCCGCTACAGATGTATAGACATTCTTTATAAAATGTTATTTTGGCGAAAGTTTGAAACATTCTGTAAATGCTTTAACAAAGTAAGAAATGTAAAATTACCGCTTTATCACCAAGGTACATCTTTTCTCGATAATTTATTTTTTGATTCATCTCAGTAAAAGGAAAGTAAAGTAAAGTAAAGATTTCAGTTAACGTCTCTTAAACTTTGTTTACGCGGAATCCGAACCGCGGTCCTCGGCCATATCATGGTCAGTGGCCTACCGACTTAGGAAGTGTCTAAATTAACTCTTACTCAAGAGATATCCGATCTCATCCGGCCTCGAACCAGCGTGTGTATTAATAGATTTTACACTTTTCCCTTGGACAACAGCACGATACAGAGTTTCGAACCGGTCACCCATCCAGCCACCAGTATGGCCTTACGTCGCTTAACTTCGGTGTTATAATGGGAACCGGTGTTTCAACGTAGCTAGGCCGTTGCTTGATTCATCTCAATAGCTTTTTTGTTGGGGAGATTCGCTTCTGAAGAAGACTGTAACAGTAACAATTTTAGCATTAGAAGCATGTTTCTGGTTTTGCCCTCATCAACACATCTATGAAATAGGATTTATTGTTATTGAAATGTTACTGTCATTGAAAAATGATGTTTTATTATTGTCACAAAACATCCCCCTTTTTCTGTAATGGTCATAAACGGGAATAAAAGACTAACTGTGCGAACAAACAGTAGAGGCGCCACTGGTTATCAAATGGTGTAAAAAATAAAAAATACGAAAATTTAATCATCTCATTTTGACACAAGGGGTCGCGCTTAACTTTTTTAATTTTAATTCAATTTTCATTGTTTTCAAACTATATTATTAGACTTTGTTGTATTTTGTAAATGTATAAATGGTTTCTTAGTATAAAGTTGCATTATATTAATTTAAATTATATTACATACATATTTCTTCTGAAACTCTCCTTTTCAGGAGAGAGTTGCGTTGCCTAGGCTGCCAGGACCATTCTGGCAAAGTACTTTTCTGCTTTTCTTTTTTCTTTTTTTTTGGGTGGTCACGTTTTATGAACTTTCACCGATTTATCTTTCTTAACGACTAACAACGACTAACATTCGAACTAGGCGTCGCCGTCGCGTCGGCGTCGTGCTGTGTTGTGACAATTTTAAATATTAATAAAATTGCCGAAAAAATTTTAACGCGTAAAGGAGAGCGTAATTAGGGCGTTGTTGAGTGCAATTACATTCAATAACTCAACTTTCCCAGATATTCAACTCTCCAGAAACAACATTTTATAGCTTCATAGTTTCTCACACCGATTTGATCAAAAGCAAAAATGGAGTGAGTAAACAAAGTGCTCGTTACATCATCAAAACATTAAAAAGATATATACTATGAGAGGATAATATATAACTTGCAATATTAATGGTATACTTTTTTAATCAACTAGCGATTAAAGTACTTCCTATAAATAAATAAAGTCCATAAACTAATATCGATTTTGAAAATAGCTACTGTCACTAGAAACTTGCCATGACAACATCAGCCCTCTTTGTTGCCATTTTATTGGAAAATTGCTCTTTATTCAAAATCTGAACTATATAGGTATAGGATACCCTAATATAGTTTGAATGAGCATTCGAATCTGTTTCGATTTATTTAAAAAAATACGGGTTGTCGTATTTGAAATAACAAGGTTTTTATGTAAAATAAATATTTAAAATAAATCATCAATTTTTGGTACCCCTGTATAAATTTAAAGGAGCAATACAATTTTTCAGTAAACTTTGTTTCTTTATCTTTAAACTCAGCACAATAATTAATTCTAAAAAGTAATGTACAGGGTGTTGATAATCTATTTCATTGTAGCATGCATATTTAAATATCTTTAAATATCTCAAAAACCAAAGCTTGTAAACATATTAATATATAATAACCCTTATAATAAATGTCTTATTTTGTGTCCAAGGATCCAAATATGAAATAAAATACCGAGTGTTCCATAAGAAAAAAAATATAACTTTGGTGTAAATCTTAGTTCTGACATATCCTGTACATTTCAAAATAATTTTAAATTATGCACATGGTCTTCCCACATATGCCCATAAAATATTTTGTTTCTACATATTTCCGTTTTTGTATAATTAACCGAAGAGTATGAGTTGCACCACCCTGTATATAGGTGTTCCATTTAAAAAAATATTCGCGATCCACTCACACTTTTTTGAGCCACTCTTTAGAAGTTCAAATATTTTCCTCAAATACATACTAATACATACTTTATGTCTGGACTACAAAATTCATAAGTTTTTTATTATAGGAGCTGCAGATGCCCGACGCACTATTGCCGGTCCCTGTAGAATCAAGGTTATTACATTGTTGGTGATAAATTAAATATTAGTATTGTGAACATTTTATTCCACCCGACTCTAGTTCTCAACGAATTGTGATCCTAAACCGACAACCAAATGTAAAGTTTCAGGTATCCGCGTCCGCTTCTCGCAAAAAACAAAAAATTTGTTCCCTAGGAAGCATCGCGCTGAACATATAGGTGCCTGGCGAAGTGCGAGGCTCCAGTATGTTTTGACGCATAAATTTGTACATGTTTGATTCAGCATCGCCGGATGGCGAGGTGAATGGAGCGCATCGCGTCGGGATGAAATGCCCCGCACTATGTATGCTAGTCGAGATGCATCATACGCGCACTTATGGTGGGTTCATACAGCCAAATAAAATAAAATAAGAATAAAATAAAATAAAATAAGAAAGTTGGTTATATGGGATACCGTACATGCGTTCATACAGCCAAATAAAATAACAAATAAAATAAGAAGTCTTTATCTTTTAACTTCTTGTTTTATTTTATGTGAAAACGGCTTTGCGCACGCTTAATTCTAACCTACAAATATTTTCACTTTGATTTAATTTATTTTATAATTTCACATAAGTAAAATGTATAATATAGTAGGCAACGAATAAATAAATATACTATAAATAGTAAAATTACTATAAACAATCGTAAAAGTTAACTTTTATCCAGCCTCATCGTACTGCGCATGAGCAAATATATATTTCTTATTTTATTTTATTTGACTGTATGAACGCACACAAATAAGAATTCCTTATTTCTTATTTTATTCTTATTTTATTTTATTTGGCTGTATGAACCCACCATTACTCGTCGTTTTAAAACAGTGCGCGTAGGATGCATCGCGGCTAGCATCCTGGCGAGCAGCTTGGCCAGCATCTTGGCGAGCATCTCATCGAGATGTCTCGTTTGTGCCCTAATATATTATTTTACAATTAAAAAAGTGTAAATTTAAAAAATATATTAAAAATAGATACCGGCATTAATTGAAAATTTTAGTATGCGAACAAATAGGAGAGGCGCTTTATTATTTACTTTCATTTCTTAACATGACAGATGAAGTTCTAAAAGGGGATGTTTTGTGATTAGTATTTATTGGTAGTTACTCTTCAAGAGGTGGTTTTAAATCCAGAAATTGTTTAGCGTATTATTACTTTAAATGAACATGGTAGAGTTGGCCTTCTTTTGTTCTTTTTAGAACCACTTTTAATACTAAGTAGTACAAAATAGCTTAATAGCCAATGCAAAAAACTCATTGCAACCTTATTAAAATATTTTGAACGGGAAAGCGGTTGTAAAGACCCTTTATGTCCCTTAAGTGCCGTTAAAGAAATGAGTTTTGTTGATGTAAATAATATCTGTTTATAATGTTTATAATTAATTTATTTTTGTTTCTTAAAATATTTTTATTAAAAAAATATGTAAAAGTGGGCAACGCTGTGCAGGTCAAGCTTAATCACGTTACTAAAAGTTTAATTGTCCAACTTAAAGTTCTGTTGATGAGGATCAAAATCAAAGGCTTGTTTTAAATGCTAAAATTTCTGTAAATTGTTACTGTATTCTTCAAAAGTGAATATCCCAGTGGCGGCTCGTCAGGGTAGGCAAGGTAGGCGGCCGCTACTCAGCCTACCCTAAGATTTTGGCAGAATTTAAGCGATTTATTACATTACATTATTTACTATTAATGTTGCCAATACATAAAAATACTGTTAATACACGGAAGTGTGTTTTAATAATCGATATAATTTTAATATTTGTCTTGTATATTAACATATTCACTACCGCTGGCGTGCCGCTGCGTTAGAAAACAAAATAATTTTGAGATTTTTTGGAGTTCCTTTGTTCGGCGGTTTCTACATCGCCTACTATCAGAGTCGCATAATTTTATTTTGCACGACAGTTTGACATCATATGTATCGTTTTGGTTGCCTAAAACCCACTAAAGAAGACAAAAACCAAAAAATTCACACCCAAAAAAAGACACACTAAATAACAATTACAACACTAAATAAAGGCTAAACAATCACAACACTAAATAAAGGCTAACCAAAGCAACCAAAAGTCCTTCGTGCAACTTTGTGTAGATAGACAGTCAATTTTTATTCGCAAGAGCCTCGGCTACTATCAAATTTTCGCCACTAAACGTCAAACTGTCGTGCAAAATAAAATTCGATGGACGAAAAGTCGATGCACGACGTACGGCAGTCTTTGTCTAACTCATCGTGCGGTAGCGACGCGACGTAAGTCGGAGTTGTATCGTATTAAGGCGGGGCTTAGGCGAAATCTCCAGTCGCCTTCGCATAAAGTCGTGGAGGCTCGGTAGGCTTAGATGTTAAGGGGATATTCCGGATATTTCATAAGGAGATATATCACATTTCATTAAGGGGATATTTCATATGATTCATTATACGTAGCATTTAAAACTTTTATATGAAAATTCAAAAAACGTTTAAAGCAAATTGAACACATTTTTCGGGCTTGTCCGAGATTATTAAAACTGATATAATCGGTTGTATTTCAGAACACGCCATAGAAATAAAAGAATCCGAAATAAAAAAGCGCGTTATTTTATTCGGTGCAAGAAGACGATGAGACAACAGATATTACAGAAAAGCATCCGTGCTATTTCAATTCGATATGTTAATAAAAGCGGCTAAGTCAAATATCTTTGCGAATTTTATTTAATGAAATATTAGTTATACATTTAGAAATAAGGTTTGCAGATAGGTATAGGTCTCAGTTATTTTTATTTATCTCTTGCGGATCCGAAATTTAAAGAATCCTATAAAACATTTCCAACGCATTTAACATCTGATTTAACAAACTTGTTATATTGATACATTTCCAACTTCCAACGCATTTAATAGTGATTTAACAAACAAAAAATGTTATTGACGAACATAAATTAATGAATAAATTGCAGGTATTAATAATAGATATGATAATTTCGATTATAAAATAATTTAAGGAGAATAATCCTGGAAATATATTTCCAGAAGCTTTCAAATTGTTTGTTTTGTTTGTTACTACACCATTTACAAGTACTTGGGTTGAGAGATATTTTTCATGTTTGAAATGCATTAAAATTTATAGTAGAGATTCCATGAAAAATAAACGTTTATCGCCACTTGCCTTACTTTCAATCTAAAAAGATTTTTTCACAGCTCTTCAACAATCTGATGATTTTACTGATATAATAATTATTCTTTCCCTCAGTACTACCAATTTTTAAGTTTGCGTAAATAAATAAAAATAAAATAAAATTCTATGATGTACTCCATAGTGAATCTATAGTAATAGATAAAAAAATAATAGATAAAATAGATGAATAAAAACTATACTTGTACATTATGTCAATCATTATGTCATTACGTTGAATGCTGTTATTTTTGCTTTAGTTTTGTCCTAAATATTTTTGAGCTATGTTTTTTAAAATAAAGATATTGAGATGAACCAAAGAAGTAACTATCGAGAAAATATGTACCTTGATGATAAAATAGTTGTTCAATATCTTACTTTGTTAAATCATTCCACAGGATGTTTCAAACTTTCGGTAAAATACCAACATTTTTTTTCTCGTATCCTGACTTTAATTTTTAGTTTAAAAAGAGGCAAAATTTTGTCGAAATCGGCCAACTAGAACAAAACATATTGAACTTTAAAATACACATGAAATGTTTAAATCTATTTTTCGTACCGGTTAGTGTAGTTTAAGATAAAACGGACATATGGAAACCCTCGGTACTTGAACAATATTTTTTAAATTATGTTTAAAACTGTACCTTGATATAATTAAATATATTGTAAGGAATTTTATCTCTTTACCAGCTATACCGAAAAATCGTTATCGTCTATTCCTTTTTTTAAGTCTTGATGTCTTGATTGTCTATTAGTTTTACTTATACGGGGGGTATGTGATGAGAATATTCGAACAAATTCTCCAGCAATATAGGGTGATTCGCGGCGATGGCACGTTGGATATTTATGGAGAACCGGTGATAGAATTTTTTTGGAAATTTGTATTTTTACATAAAGGCACCTTCTCCATCTTTCTACAATATTTTCATGCATTACAGTGTTGCCGCATCATTCGAAAAGTGGTAGCATCTTTCTTATTTTAAGTGAAAAACCCAGTATATTATTACATTTTTGGAAACTACTTTTATATCTCATAATTTTTTTATTATACTAACCTTTGAATAAGAAGACTAAGGAAGGAGCATAATGCTATCCATGTATTCATGCATGGTGGGCGGAAAAGCCACCATAAAAGCTCTCTAGGGTGGGGATCCTTGACAGTTCTGTTTGACGATTCATTTGACACATTTGAATTTGATTTGAAATTTTGTGGATTTGTCAGATTTTACTGGAGCTTTATTTTTATGTTATTTATTATTTATTCTACTACTGATAGTTGTATAAAGGTGGTAAAATATAGATGGAAAGTGTGGCAGACCTTAAATTAACAGTGACACTATCGCATTTATCGAAAAAGACTCTAAAATAGTTGGTTGTGTAGCGTGCGTAGATCTCGGCAAAAAATTGAGGAAATAATGGAACAACTTTTCGCTAGTCAAATGACTATATAATATACATACGTGTAGTAAACCGATCATTTATGAAATTCACTTAAATTAACTAAATTATATATTTTTCTGTACATTTAGCTGTTATTTACTACTTTTCAAAGATTAGATGTCAAAGAATAATTTAGATAGCTGTCAATTTGACTTACCTGTTTCCAGTAAGCGTGATCGGATGTCTTGATTGTCTATTAGTTTTACTTATACGGGGGTATGTGTGAGAATATTCGAACAAATTCTCCAGCAATATAGGGTGATTCGCGGCGATGGCACGTTGGATATTTATGGAGAACCGGTGATAGAATTTATTTTTTGAAAATTTGTATTTTTACATAAAGGCACCTTCTCCAACTTTCTACAATATTTTCAGCATTACAGTGTTGCCGCATCATTCGAAAAGTGGTAGCAGCTTTCTTATTTTAAGTGAAAAAGCCAGTATATTATTACATTTTGGAAACTACTTTTATATCTCATAATTTTTTATTATACTAACCTATATATATATATATATCTCTATCTTCACTAATAGTTTCTGAGATAAAAAATAAAACATGTATAAAATTGACAAAAATATACTAGGCATTGGTAAAATCATGAATTAAACATTTTTAGAGTTGAAATTTGGGCTATTATTCAACGAAAGTCGATATATTCGATCTATCTAAATCTAAATAAACCGATTGGGTATTACACAGGGAGAGCAAAAATATTATTTATTTCCGTTAGTAATAAAATTGCTCAAATATTTGATATTTTAAATTCAACCCTATTATACCGGGTGCGTCCCAAAAGTGGCTCACCCCTATAACTTTTTTATTTTTTCAGATCAAAAACGAGATTTCGTATGTTAGGTTAGGTTAGGCCGTATATGACATAAATTGGGATTGATTGACACATTCGATTGTTTTTGACCACTTCCTGTTTCACCGGAAATGACTACAACTTTTGATTTTTAAATGGCACCCCCTGTATATTTTTACTTTATTCGATAGAAAATTATATTCTGAATAGAATGATGTATCATATGTCAACTTTTGACATTCTCGCTTAATAAAAAGTTGTATTTTAAATTTTAATCTAGAGTACCATGACTATGTTAAAAACACTAATTCTTAATCAAGGAGCCTTGGAAAAATTGATTTGATCGTCTAAAGTTTTTAGCGTCTTGTCCTGGCCGGTTTAAAAATGCCCAAATCGTATTTTTAATCATATCTCAGTTTTTTCAAATAGAACGAGGGTGGTTCATTAGCATATTTGGAAAAAGCCTTTTTTTTACGAATAATTTGATACCACACACTTTCGAGTCAAATTTTCATTACGAGTCAAATTTTCATTACGAACCGCAAGTTATAATTTCAAATAAACCATATGCGAAAATGTCAAAAGTTGACATATGACATGTCATTCTATGTCGAGTGTTATTTTCTATCAAAGAAAGTAAAAAAATACTGAGGGTGTCATTTAAAAATCAAAAGTTGTAGTCATTTCCGGTGAAACAGGAAGTGACCGAAAACAATTGAATACATTAGTCAATCCTAATTTATGTCATATACTAACACACCAAATCTCGTATTTTAACTAAAAAAATAAAAAAGTTATATGAGTGAGCCACTTTTGAGACGCACCCGGTATATTATTATTTATATGTATATTATTTAAAAAATCAAAAGACTAATAAAATTGCTTTTCAATGATATATCATGTCTCCCTCCTATACCTAAACCTTGCCCTGTTTCTTACAAAGTAGAGTTGTTTAAAAATTAATATAGTAAACGCCACGAATGTTTGGGAGTGATTCATCACTTGATGAAGTTAGAATCGACACATGCGCTATAATTTTTACATTAAAAACGTAAATTTTTACCGCAGACGTAGGTTTTTAAAGGCCCGGTCTAATCATCTGCCTGCGCTCCTCCTACTTATTCTAAAATGTTAGTATGATTGACAAAGACGATACTATATCGCGTTTCTTTGATTGATTCGTTTTTGTGCGTCAGTCCATTGATGTGCTTGCAGTGCGACCAATGGGGCATTCCAGTTTATATTTATAACCAAATATATGTTTTGACAAGACTTTGACAGTTAAAACAACAAATTACAACAGTTTATATATTGATTATTATATGACTTGAAACACCACGGCACTGGAATTAAGTTTTATGTGACCTTGAACAGATTAGTTCACATGGTAGCGACTGGTAGCGACCGATGAATCACTCCCAAACATTCGTGGCGTTTACTATAATTCTATTATTATAATTTCATTTCAAGAATTTCGTTACCATGACAATTTTAGAAATTTAGTATGTAAACTCTAATTGATACTTATAAAGTTTGAATATTTGTGATAACGATTTTCTTTAAACGAAACAATTATAATATAATTATCTTTTAAATGGCGAATTACCGAAGAAACCAGAAGGTTTAGGTATAGGAAGAAGGTTTAGGAAGAAGGTTTAGGTATAGGAACATGATATGATTGAAAAGCAATCTTATTTGAATTTGAATTTAAAATAACAATAATTTGAACGATTTTATAACAAATCTAAATAATTATTTTTGACTGACTTGATTTCTGACCTCCCTGTTTGATATTCAATCTGTTGATATACACAGACCGGATATGTCGACTTTTTTTAACCTATAAACCAAATTCCAGCTTTCAATATGCCGAATATATGATTTAACCTTTGAATAAGAAGACTAAGGAAGGAGCATATCAAAAATCTTAGGTACACCGCGATGGGCCTCAAATATGGCCGACTGAAATTCCGGTTTATCAGTGTCGTTCTAATTTTATTTAAAAAATGTAAAACTATGATGTAGGGTAGACGTGGGGTATACTCAATAATTTGTTGTTTTATTTTACGTTGTGAATAAATGTTGGTAGTTATTAAAATTGTTATAAAAATATATAATTCTAATAAAAATAGATAAGTTATAATAAGTATTTATTAACACAAACATCCGATACGCTACTGAAGCAGGTAAGTCAAATTAACGTATCTAAATTCTTTGACATCTAATCTTTGACAAGTAATAAATAAAAGCTAAAATGCAAGAAAAATATATAATTTAGTTAATTTAAGTGAATTTCATAAATGATCGGTCTACTTCACGTATGTATATTATATAGTCACTTACTAGCGAAAAGTTGTTCCATTATTTCACTCAATTTTTGCCGATATCTACCGCACGCTACACAACCAACTATTTTAGAGTCTCTTTCGATAAATCGCGATAGTGTCACTGTTAATTTAAGTTCTGCCACAATTTCCATCTAGATTTACTACCTTTATACAACTATCAGTAGTAGAATAAATAATAAATAACATAAAATAAGCTCCGTAAAGACTAACAAATCCACAACATTTCAAAAGTGTGAAATGAATCGTCAAACAGAACTGTCAAGGATCCCCACCCTAGAGTGCTTTTTCCGCCCATCATGCATGAATACATGGATAGCATTATGCTCCTTCCTTAGTTTAACCAATGCTTATATTATTCATGATCATGTTTTTGACAATTTTGAATGTTTTATTTTTTATCTCGAAAACTATTAGAGATTGGTATAGGTTAGTATAATAGAAAAATTTTGAGATATGGAAGTAGTTTTGGAAAAATATAATAATATACCGGGTGTTCCATTTAAAATAAGAAAGATGCTACCACTGTTGGTATGAAGCGGCAACACTGTAATGCTGAAAATAATTTGGACAGATGGAGCAGGTGCCTGTATACAAAAATCCAAATTTTCAAAAAATCTTCGGGTCTCCATAAACGTCTAACGTGACATGACCCTCAATCACCCTGTATAATGTAACCACTGTAATAGTTGGATAGGAGATGTACAGACCTTACAAATGAGGATGTTATAAAATTGTCCTCTACTTCTAAGAAACGGTCTCATAAATGTATCTGTTCCATTTGTCTCAATGCTGATGTTAGTATTATAATCA